TTGACAAGGAGATGGGGAAGAATTTAGGGGAGCAGGGTGTAATTTTAAGTGGCCTTTTCAAAATCCAGAAGATCCAGATCTGTGTAACGAGACTATATGTCCTGCCACACTGGTGCATGGGCCACATAGAGAATAAGACTACTACTGATAGCTGGTGGAATAACTGCTGTCACTTGACTGGTAAAGGTCTGTGCTGTGAGAATGGAACTTGGGAATTTCTGTTGCTGCTTGAACCCTTTTGGACATTATTTTTGCATTCCAAATTAACAGCCCAGAAACTCCTACATGTGTTTTTCTTTCTTTCATTCTTAGCAGAACAATAAGGCAACAAAATGTAGTTCAGAGTTATTCTTCCTTAACATAATTCTAGGTTTCTGCACGCACTGACACATCTGCCACAAGATGGTATAAGAATCTGTATAGCCACATGTATCACGGAGGTACTCTCTTTTAGCTCTTCAGAGTTAATACAGTGTTCCTCTTTTGACATGTGTCTCTGTGTTACCCTAAATCTAAGGAAGCACTTCAAATTTAGCTATAAAAATTAAGAAATGGAAACACAGGAAGCTGATAGCCATGAATATAAATTAGAAGATAGGCACTATAAAAAAATTATACCAAAAGAAAAAAGATTAAAAGTCAAATCAATGGTCAGCACACATAAGGACAATTTAAAGGGGTTTAAGTATATTAGGAATTAAAGGAATCCTAATAGTGATATTGCTCTATAGATGGAAATGGTAAACTTGTTAATAAAAAAGCAGACGCCTTAAATAAATATTTTGTCCTATATTTGGAGAAGGAGCCAGATGATTTATCATATTATCATCAAATACGTCCCATTCCAACAGTAACTTAGATGCTGTTTAACATCTTCCTGCTGAAATTAGACCTGATATTAGCTGGTCTGGAAAATGTATATCCTAGAGTATTAAAAGAGCTAGCCCTAAAGCTCTCTGCATCATTGATGCTGATTTTTCCAATAAGTTGCACTACAAAGGCATTTTCAGTGGAATGGACAAAAATCTAGTGGACCAATACTTAAAAACAGTTAAATGGGTTTACCCGAGTTAATGTAACCTTAACATTAGTTGCAGGTAAAGTAATGGAATGGCTGATCTGGGACTTATTAAAATATATTAATAAAACCAATGTCACTCTGTATAGGCTTATAGCAAATGGGTCTAACTTGATTTTGATGAGATTAAAGGTTTGGTTTAAAGAAACAGTATTCATAAAATGTATAAGGCATTTGATTTGATATGCCATGGCATTTAGATTAACTGACTAGAATAATTAAAATTCAGTGTGCTTTAAATGAAGTAAAAGCTGGTGTGCTGCTAGATCTCAGTGTAATTGTGAATGAGTCACTCACTGGAAGTGTTTCTACTGGTGTCCATTTATCAATGACCTGGGGGGGAAATATAAAATCATAACAAATAAAAGTTTGCAGGTGACACAAAGATCACAGGAGTCATAAATACTGAAGGATCAAGTCACTGAAAAAGAGCAATCTGGATTGCTCAGTTAGCTAGACACAAGCAATATGTAAGGCCATGTGAAAAGTCATACATTTGGTAGCAAAATATGCAGGCTACATTTACGGGATGGAGGACTCTTCTTTTTTTGGGTGGGGGGGGAAGCAGTGACTCTAAAAGGCATTTGTAACTGAGCTCCTAGTGCATTCCTTGTGGCCAGAATCCAATAGTCCTTCCTGTTTGGGAAATCTTTGCTAAGAGTAGGATGGCTATATTGCCTTTGCAGCTGACACTAGTGCAAACTCTACGGGAATACTGAGTCCAGGTTTTGTGGCACCAAGTCAAAGAAAACTGATAAATTCAGAAGTGTTCAGAAACAATATGCAAGAATAAAGGATTGGAAAATGTGCCTTAAGGTGAAACAATGAGTATTGTTATGTTGTCTGAGAGAGGGAGAAAATGTGTGACTTGATCAATGTCTAAAAGAACCTGCATGAGGCATAGAAATATGATAAGAGGGCCATTCAGTTTAGCAGACAAAGGTATAACAAGATTAAATGGCTAAAAATTGAAAATGGGTGAAATCAGATGAGCAGTAAGGCACAAATATGTATTACTGTGGGTAATTAGCAGGGATCCTGGTTTTCTCTGATTTAAAAAAAAACAAACCAATTTTCTGTTAAAAAAGTAACCCCAAATCCACATTTTTCCATGGTTATATCTATATATTAGTGGTGTTTCATTTAAATCACAGAAAAATGAAACTCCACTAGTGTGGTAGATATATAGATCTATCTACCACTAATGTGGTAGATATATTAGTGGTTCATTTTAATCATGGAAAAATGTGAATTCGGGGTTACTTTTTTTAACTGAAAATTGAGTATTATTTTAAATCAGAGTAAACCAGGCTCCCTGTTCATCCCTTTTTTTTTTTTTTTTTAAATAAAGACAAGATTTTTTAAAGATAGAGTGGTTTAACTGGAAATTAATCCAGGCCTACAGCTTGTTACACAGAAGATCTGACTAGATAATTTGGTCCTGCTTTGTAACCTTGAAGGAAGTAGCAGGGACAGGAAAACTGTTGTTTGCTCACAATGAGGCATGCAAGTCTGCTGAAAGCCTCTGGTTTAAGAGTTTGTCCTCTGAGCCTCTTCTGCCATGCAGTCATCTGAAAATGTAGTTGAATGTTTGTCCCAGTACTGACGTTATCATGTGCCTCCTGTGCTCTAAAGAACATAGTTCCACATTGCAGCCAGCCACTAAGGGAGGATATTTGGGGAAGTATTCCTCACAGCCCTTTTTCTTCTTCATTGCTTTGCTTTATTATTTATTCATTATCTCCAATACATTTTTGTGGCAAGCTCTTTAAGCAAAGCATTTCCTGCTTCTCTAGGGAAGACAGGTTGCCCCTATCTTCAGCCAAGGTGCCTAGAATCCATTATTTGAATTCTTTCCTCTCTTGGTGTGTGGAAAGGCAAACAAGGGTCTTAGCCCCCTAAAATACACAGGCTCAGTGAGTAAAAGCAACAAAGATTAGAGGCTTCAAATTTCTTGGGGCATCTTGGATGAGTCACGAGAGTTTTTGATTGTCTTTTGGACAAACAAAGCATAAAGTGCTTCATGTGGGTATGTGTGAATTATGGTACTTACAATGTGGCTACATTTTCATTGCACTCCAGGGGTGCTTGTACATACGACAAAATTGTCCTTCAAAGCGGCTTAATTGCCCTCTTGCACCGCTTTAATGCCATTGCTGTTTACACCTTCGGCGGCATATCTCGCTTTAAATGACCTTGTTATGTAACAAAGTAAAACACATCCGAGGTATTTTAGTTTGCTACCTAAAGTGCAGTGGCACACGGGGTGCTGGAAGCCCCGACATGGTCAGGGAAACTTGAGGATGGCGGGCTTCCAGCGCCCCGTGCACCATTCCCGCCGCCTTCTCCCACCGCCAGCACATCCAGCTGCCCTCCTGCCGTCTTGCCACACTGCCCCAGGGCAAGCCAGCCCATTCCCGGGCAGTCCCAGGTGGCGGGAAGGCAGTGGGGACGGTGCACAGGGCCGGGAGGCCAACTGCAGGTGGACCGAGCAGCCCCTGAGCTGCGTGGGACCCCAGACCTTTCCTTCTTGGCAGTGGCACCCACCAGGTGGCAGCCGCCTGCTAGAATCCCACCCAAGGGGTGCCACCACCATGGAGGGAAGCACCATGTGCCATGCAGCTCAGGGGCTGTGTGACCTGGCGGCAACTCATGCAAGCAGGCTCCACTGAGGAGGGGGGAAACCAAAAAGCAGCGAGGAGCCTGATCTTCTGGATCTCAATTCTGTACTGCAACAACCATTCTTCAGTGAGCATTTCCAAAGGAAAGGATTCTGACTGAGTGTTAGAGGTTGTGTGTGCGCAGAGTACCAGAGTGTGTGAACATGACGCAAAAGAACAGCCCTGAGGGCCATCAAGTCTAGTACCCAGTCTGATGGTAACCACTACCGGGTGCTTTAGAAGAAGGTGTAGGAACAACACAATAGCAGGTGATGGATATTCTCTGTGCATACACGCTCCATTTATGCATACCTACACATGTATGCATATTTGGTCTCGTTAGAAAGCAGGACATTTAGATACTGTCTTAAGCCACCAAACACAAAGTTTAATATCCCTTCCAAAATTTTGTGAGCATCAATTATGCTAATTCCAGGAATTCTTGATAGCCATATAAATGCCCAGTCCTTTTCTGAATCTGGTTAAGTTCTTGGCCTAAAGAGCATCTGGTGGCCACCACTGGTGAGAAAAAGCCTTTCCCTTTAATTGGTTTTGAATCTAAATCTGCCACCTTTTAATTTCATCAAATGTTTCCTTGTTGCAGTGAGCCAAGATGGTAACATTTATCATTAAAATAATATACCTCAAGGAAGTATGGTAATAACTGGTCTCCATTAATCACAAGGAGCAGAGAGCTGAAGAACCGTAAGGCATGCAGGTCTGGGAATTCCTGCAAGCCTTTGAACGCTAAGGATGCTTGACTGCATCTAGCTATGTAGTACTCCTCCCTGGACTCTGAGTCAGGCTGGAAAGTTGTATAACCATTCTGCTAGACAAGCTGTAGTTCATTGCCCCCTTACATTCTGTTTCTCCCTCCCTCCCTCCCTACATGTTATTTAAAATCGCACTTCTAGTTATATGCTATAATGTTCTTTCTACCCAGTGATTTCAAAGGTTGTCATTCTATATTAGCTTTGTCGTTGTGTTATCAGCACAATCCTGATTTCCAGTGCCCCATTTGGTCCCCCACAGCTTGCACACTAAGTCTGCCTCATGATAGAATTGCTATTGTCTCTTGGTTCTAGAAGGCATTTTTCACTGGGAGGGATGGGGATAGCCCAGATGTCACCGTTTCTAGTGGCAGTGATTTCTTGTCAAAGGGAAGGTGGCAAATAACTAGATATCTGGTTTAGGAAGGAATTTCACAGCTTCTCTACCCTTCACCTTGCCCCCCCCTTTCCTGCCCCTTCATTCTCTTTCAGAACATGAGTGAAAACCTGAAGGACTGTTTGATCCAGACCCAGACTTCCTTAGGGGAGATGGTAACAATAAAGACTGAGGCCTGTTCTCCACACCGGGACCAGGAGTATGGACAACCCTGGTAAGCACTTTTGCTTTTCCTGTTTTCTCTTCTACGTTCATAAGTTCAAAATGGATTTGATGGATTGTGCTAAAGCTACTGGCATCCCAGCAGGCTGGGATGTTCAAGATGTCTGTCTGAAGCCCCTAAGTGCTGTAAGCATTAGTTACACAATACTACCTGAGCAATGTGCTCTGTCAGGCTGGGGCATCAAATATCTATACATTAGATCATGGGATCAGCCTTGGGTACTTGTCTTTCCTTTTGGCCTGGGGAGCAGGGCAAGGCTGTTCCCATCCCTTCTCTCTTGTCTGTCGGAGAGTTCTTCTCTATTCTCCATTCAGGATGTTGTGCTTTTAGGCTAGGGACAGAAATTACACATAAACTGGCATAAGTGATTGAAAACTGGTTCACATTTGTAACTCAACAGAAGTTTAGTGCACATGAACCACTTTCAAAATGGCCAAAATCATTTTAAGATAAATCTGGATGGAGGTAATATCAGATTTAGATGTTTTAGGTTAAATAGATTTATTGAAATTCTCTCAGATCCCCTCCAGATCAAGTTAACTCACAGTCCCTCAGCATCCCAGGATGTTTTGCACCTCCCCTACAAACTCCACCCTGCGGGTTGGGTGGGATAGCCTTGGCCCAAGTTGTCTGCTCCAGCTGAGCAGAGAGGCATGCTCTAGCACCTCCCAGCTTCTCTCCTGGGCCACTGGAAGCACATGGCTGCATTTTCAGTATTGAAAGTGAATGTCTGTTCACTTGCTAATTGGTTCAATCTACACAGTTTAGACTAACCTGCAAAGATTCAATTGATTCAGCCTCGGGGTTTTTAACTGTCTGTATGTAGCCCTAAGAAATTTTTTTTCTTCCCCTCACCTCCATCTTTTCAGCTCTGGGAGGCCTGACCCACAGTCCATGGAGATAGAGCCTAAGAAACTGAAAGGGAAACGGGACTTAATAATGACAAAGAGCTTTCAACAAGTAGATTTCTGGTGTAAGTATTTTACCCTAGGGATGACTCCATCTAGACAGCCTTTCTTCTTTTCTGTGTCCACCCCTTTCCTCTAGAATGAGGGAATTTGTCACAGAATTGATCTAACATCCTCTCAGTTAAGCTGATAATGATGTAGATGCTGAAGCTGTCTGTATATGGTGTGTGTGGTCCCAGATTCACTAGGAAGAAGAAAAGAGTCAAAGCTCCAGGTCACTCCTTCTGGATGCAGGTTAACTTCCCAAGGCATTGACTGCTTTCAGCCTTTTGAATTCTGAACATTCCTTGCACAAGGGGCCGTGCATGTCAGGTTCCCACCATAAATGAAGAAATTTTGCAGTCAGACTTCATCCTAGCCCCCAAGGCATAGTAATGCCAATTGAAATCCACGGGAGTTACTCTTGCTTTGCTGCGGGGAACAGGATCCATGACGTCATGCTTTCTCCTTAGTTAGGAGGAAGAGTTTCAAGTTTTTTAGAAAGCTTTCTTTAAATTCTGTCTCTTGAAACCCTGTGTTTTCAACTATATTTCATAGGGGAAACACTGTCAACAGGGGAAACCATCATTTTATACAACCAGACAGTGGGTGGGTCACGTACTCAGCAAGAAAATGTCATATGTGTCTCAAATAGTTACTAGTCTAAAGGGGCGAGACAGCATGGTACAGAATAGCATGTAATCCAGAGGCCTGTTTCACTGCCATGCTTTCTGGAGCGAGTGCCTTCAAGATGAATTTCAAGGAGAGAATGCTAGGCAAGTTTCTCCAGGTGCAAGCTGTGGCAGGGATAGAAGCTGGGCTAAAGCTTGGGCAAAGCGGTGGGAAGAGAATGATGCAGGAGGAGATATGGGAGGAGGATTAGGTGAGAACAGAGTTGTAGACATTCTAGAATAGAAAGAGGATTCATCTGATACAGAAAGTGGGCAGAACCAGTGAAAGTTTGAGGAGATAAAGCCAAAGCATCAGGGAATGGAAGCAATCTCTTTTCTACTGAAGTGAAACGGGTTGTGGTTTAATACATGTCCATTCACACATTTCTGCAACCTAATGAATAGACTTGGAACTGCTGGACTGTGTTGTAGACCCCATGTTCATAACAGATTTTCCTTTAATTTGGGTAGCAGTTATCTTTACTCTTGGAATAGGAAAATCTGAGTTCTGTCCTCCTTGGGATAGTCTGTATGAGCTATTCATTGTTTTCAGATGTTGAAACTTCTGCCGAATCTAATCCTGTTTCCTCCCCACCTCCCACCTACAGTTTGCGAGTCCTGCCAGGAGTACTTTGTGGATGAGTGTCCAAACCATGGTCCCCCTGTGTTTGTGTCAGACACTCCAGTGCCTGTTGGGATCCCTGACCGGGCATCACTGACCATCCCGCCTGGCATGGAGGTTGTGAAAGAACCCAATGGGGAGAATGACGTGCGCTGTATGAACGAGGTTATCCCCAAAGGTCATATCTTTGGGCCATATGAGGGGCAGATCTCCAGCCAGGACAAGTCAGCTGGATTTTTCTCTTGGCTGGTAAGTGTCCTAACTGCCTTCCTGGTTGTGTACTATCTAAGCACGCATCTTAGCACGGTAAATTATGGGATGGGAAAGCTAGAAATTGAGTCTCTAAGAAAGCAGATGCCTTTCTGCTGCTCTTTGTTCACAGCAGCCCTAGGCTGTGCGTGGTTGGAAAGAGTCAGGATTCCAAGGTTATAGTCAAAGATTTGGGAGGAATTTTCTTCTTTTGCAGGACTTGACCACTAGTGTCACACAGTGCATGCAGTACACAAAGGAGCATCTTTCGTGTTTTGTTTCATCAACTGAGAAAGCTACAGTTTTGTAGTAATGAACTTAGGGGGAATAAATAAGTACCTTGCACCTTCTCTCAACTTTCCTGCTCTCTTCCTTGCCTTGCCTCCCACTATGCAGTCTTTAGGAGCTGTTTTCTCAAACATCTTCTTTCTCTCCGCTTATCCTACACATTATTTCTAGAGATAGCTGAGCTGCCTGCCCAGCCACTTGAAGCAGAACTTTCCAAGAGCAGATCAGTGGGTGGGAGAAGCTTGTTACCAGGATTTAGGAGTCCCAGTATCTCGCAAGTCCATCAGCTTATCAGGAACAACTTCATCTTTTGCAGCCGTAACATAGTGTGGGTTGCTTCAAGCAGCCTACAGGTAGATTTGGGATTGTGGTTATAAAGAAGTTGACAACTGTTTTGTATAGTAGTTAGAGCAAGGAACTGGGAAGCAGGACTCCAAAGTTCTGTTCACAGCTATCTCACGGGGATGTTTTATGATCTAGACTTGAGTCACTTTTATCTCCGTACCTAAGTCTAGCTGCCTGTAAAATGTGGGGATAAACCCCAGCCCTTCTCTGGAAAGATAACCTATATGGGCAGAGGAGGTGAGAGTTCAGTCTCTTGAATCTTGGCAAATGGAAAATGCCCTTTTACTATCAAATTCACTTCATGAATGGGAGGAGGCCCAGCAAACATCTGGTGGGAGTAACCTAGAGTCAGTAATGCTCTAGGTGCATTTGAACTGATGAACTAGAGATGAAAGACTACCTATGCTGACCAGTACCTGAAAAGTTCTGCATCCCATTCCCTGAGCCCAGCCCACTGACCTGCTATCTTCATTTTATTATTCTTCAGATTGTTGATAAGAACAACCGCTACAAATCCATAGATGGGACAGATGAAACCAAAGCAAACTGGATGAGGTGAGTCTAGCTCTTTTCTGCCTTCCCTTGTGGGGTTTTATGGTCTAGAGCATTTCTGATCCTTCAGTGAGACAATAGCAAAGATGCTCTTAAAAGGTTCATTTGTTTTTTCCTAGTAATAGCTGTTGTGAGAGTCCTCTGCTGTCAGATTGAATGCAAGGGTCTAACATGGAAAGTGTATGCAGGGAATATCTGTTGTTTTATTAACAGGCATGGTGAAAACAGGGAGTAGAGATGTACCACAACCCTCTTAAAAATTAATAGATCTGGCTTACATTATCTTTAATATTTTTCCATTTTACTTTCCAGTGTTTCCAAAAGACTTCATATTACTTTGAGGAGTACAGTCGTAACATTTTTTATCTTTTCCCATTTGCCAGAAATTGAGAGGGAGAGACCTTTTTCTTTGAATTGCTAGTGGAGAAATATCCTAGTCATTCTCTTGTTTTGTGTCCATGTTGTTTGCTAGCAGTACTGAGCATATTTGTACTGCGCAGGTATAAGAATTCATTAGTATACCTGAGCTCCCTCTACTGGCTGAGTGGCTCCACAGCAGTGGAACATAAATCGTTGGACCCTGGACAGAAGAATCATTTTGATTCTTATTCTTGGATGGAGCAGTGAGTGAGGAGTGATGTTTAGCATTTACACAGCATGACTAAGTTTTGAAAGCTCTTTACAGGTATTAATGTCACTCATGCAGCCTGTCCATGAGATAGATGGATATCATTTCCATTTCAGAAAAGGGAATTTGAGAGAGAGAGAGAGTTGATATGACTTACCCAAAACCACTAAATGAGGCAGTGACTGAGCTGGTATGAACAGTGGTGGATGTGTGGCTGCCCCTTTTGTGCTCTGACCACTCCAAATCACATTAGCTCTTCAAAAATTCACCACTGATGGCAGATTGTTGGCCCAAATGAACAGTTTCCATTATTAACTTCACCAGGGTAAGACATGAAATATGGCATATGTATGGAAATACTGCAAAGGTACCATGGAAGGCCTGGAGTATGACGCAATGTGTTCTGCTTGGCTTATTTCTTGGATAGCATGTGTCCTGTTGCTTACATCTATAGGGTTCAGGCAATGACTGTGTTATGTGAGAACAGTTAGACAAGGAAGGCTGGATGAGTAGATTAGAAGGCTGAATAGAAATGACACGGACAATAATGGAGAAAATGTGAGGTTGAATCACTTGCCTGTTGTAGGATGTGTGTCAAGAGTCTCAAGATAGATCACACTCTAGGAAGCAGTATCTTTTTGGTCTTTCTGTGTATAACATAAAGCTCTCTGCAATAGACAAAGGGAAAAAAAGAGTAGGAAGAGTTGACTGTTTAGGAATGTATCTATATTCAGAAACTTTCAGACAGAGCAGGCATTCAGTGCCTTGCCTTAGGATTTTACCTGTCGTGGACACCCATCAGAAACCATACCTTTAGGAGTGCTGGAGTTGCATCTGAAAAAAAGCGAGCAACTGTCTCCTTGCCATAATTTCTAGATGGACTGCTTTACAGAGTGGATTGATTCACTAGGATGGGTGACAGTTGCATGTGAAGAGCAGCAAGGGTTGATGCCATCTTTGTTCTACATTCACGTATCAGTTTGTGTATGTTTGACCCACCAAATCTGAGACCATTTTCATATTCCCTGTGATGAAATTTTGGACTTCCAAGTGCTTGACATTCAGAGAATTTAGATCCTCTTTAACCAGAACAATGGAAACAAGTGAGGAAAGAACATAAGGCAGGGTGGGTGACAGACTGTCACATGACCAATATAATGCAGCATTTCCCTTTTTGTCTTTTTTCATCTCTAAGAATTTTCTGAAGCTGGACTGCATGTTCTTCTGAGATGGCCATTATCAAAAGAGCAATTCCATTTTATGTTCAAAACTCTATATAATCTCCATTTAGCATGACAAGTTGTTACTAGTACTGTGTGAAACTTAGTGACTTTGGTTTGCAGGGTTTTATATTAATTTCTTCCTCTGTTCCATTTCCCATAGTGCTTGGTTTGAACAAATGCTATGACTCAAAGCAAACCTCAGTTAAAATCTTTGCTTCTTCTGACTTGAATAGAAAACCAGCAACTTATTTCAAGTTCTTTAATTTTACGAGGGCCTTCAAAAAATCCAGCACCAGACCCATTGTGTCTGGTTACTTGTGGGACATGGAAGAAGAATTTTACACAGATCCTGGTGACCTTTTGTAATAGAGGATGAGGCAGGGAATTCTGGAAAATGGTATAGTCTTTGCAATAATGCATGAAGGTGACTCTTTGTGTGGTACACCTCACAAAAGGATGGAGGAAAGGGGTGGGTGGAGAGAAGTAACAGATATTGTGACAGAAATGAGCCCTATATTTCTCAAAGCCTACTGCATGGCCTAAGCCCCTTAACTTCTGCAGTCTGTGTGGGGAAGCCATACAGGGAAGGATTAACCAACATACACAGTAAGAGATTGCAGGAGCAAGAATGTCTTCATTTTTTTCCTTCTGCATGGAAATGTCTACATGTGGGTTTTTCGGTGGGTTGTTTCAAGGCCTGTACTGTTACTGTAACTCCCCAGTTAAACTTTTCTACCAGGATAATTGGGGCTGTCTATGAACATGAGGATAATAATCATGGCACTCTTTTTAACTTTTCTGACCTTTGGACGTGGCCAAGGATAGATGCCTAATTCCATGATCTGTGCCCATTTAATTTAATTTAATATACCGGTTTTTGTAAAAAAATTTCAGACAGGGCTGTTGGGTTCTTAGGGCCCTTCTGTTTCAGCAAATTGCTGTAAAGGAGTAAGAAGTAATATACATGAAAATTCCTCTGAAACTACAGTAGAGCCATCAGCATCCTTCAGAACCTTCCTATGGCACTCTGAAGTAGTACTACACTTGCTGCTTAGCAGGAGAGGGAGGAGAGGTGACCGGGTGTCTTGCTAATGGCTTTATGGGCAGAATGGCTGTGCTTAGTGATCATTAGCATTTTTCAAACATTGCATCATAAGTAGAACTTCAAAAGAAGTAAGCCCACAGAGAGACCTTAAAGTGAAGGTATCAAAATGGTGCATGAGCAAATGTGGTTCCTGTAGAGCCTGGTAAAACCCATGCTCTGTGCCACTCTTCTTTCGGTTATGCCACAGGAGCCAGCACCAGACTGATAAACTCTTACATGAAGTGACAAAACTTTCTCAGTATTGAAACCAACTCCAAACTCATCCTGGGCTCCTAGAAACTATCACCGTGCTATGCAAGCTCTTCATAAGTCTGTGCAAACTGTGTCTGAAACCTTTCTGTTCATTGGATTCGCAAAATTTGCCTTAAATTGGCCAAACTGGCCTGTTTTTGTGGCATTTCATTTTTTGTTTCATGACTTAGTTTGATTCACAGTGGACACATCTACACCTGCAATTAACGCAACTGAATAAACTGTGGTGCAATTTGAGCCAGAGTAAACAAATCCCAATGTCACTGTCTACATGTGCATTTAAGTGCACTAATTTACTCCACCATCAGATATTATCTGTCTGACAGGACTATCCTATGCCAGAGTAAATTAGTCTACTGCAGACTAATTGCAGCGCACGTGTAGATGATGATGCTTTACTGCACAGTAAATTAGTCTACTGTGCATTAAAGTGCGCATGTATTCATATTCATAGATTGGAAGGGGCTGGAAGGGACCTCAGAAGATCATCAGGTCCAGCCCCCCTGCACCAAGCAGGAAAGACAACTGGGGTCAGGTGCCCCCAGCAAGGTGACCACTCAGTCTCCTCTTGAAGATTTCCAGGGTAGGCAATTGCACCACCTCTGGAGGGAGCCTATTCCACAGTCTGGACACCCTGGCTGTGAAGAAGTTTTTCCTAATGTTGAGCCTGAAACGGTCTTCCAGGAGTCTGTGACCATTACTCCTGGTTTTCCCCAAGGGTGCCCTGGTAACCAGTTGTTCACCGAGCCCTTGATGTATGTCCCTGATGTAGTGGTAAGCTGCTACCAAGTCCCCTCTCGGCCTACTCCTCTTCAGGCTGAAGAGTCTCAGGTCCCTCAGCCTTTCCTCATGTGGCTTGCCGTGCAAGTCTCTAATCATACGGGTGGCATCATCACATAGATGTGCCCAGTGAGAGGAAAAGATTGGTACACTCCATGAAACCCCAAACTGCCTTGTTAAATACTGCTTGTAGCTGAGTGCAGCTGTTCCTTTTATGGTATTGGCATTGGCGGCAAAAATTGGGACCTGTAATTTACTGCTGGTGCAGCGTACTTTGGCTTGAACAGTTAGCTGACATCCAGGGTCTTGTGGGTTGTTTCCATTGGGAAGAAATGATGAGAGCCTAATGGAGGTTGTTTAATGGAATCCTGTTTGCTTACAAAGAAAGGTCCTAAGAAAGTCCAGTCTCACTGAAAATGATAGGAAGCAGTTTCCATGCTCTGGGTTCCAAGCCTCTTTACTGCTTTATCCACGAGCAAACTCTTTATCCATAACAGTGTTTCTTAGCTTTCTCGCTGGGTCCTACTCTAAAACTTTTTTGGTTCTCCTTGGCTTTGTTGTTACCTTCCCTGAATGCTTGCAATCAAAATATTTCCTCATCACCCCTGCCAAAACTTTACCCAGACCTCTGCCTTTTCTTTCAGCCCAAGTGAGATATCTTTGTTCACTTAGCTCATCTCCTGACCCGCCTTGCTTGTGGCCTGTATTTTGAATGGTGGCTTATATTTGTTCAGCAACTTACTCCTGAAAGAGCTGAACTGCTGCTTACATTTATCCTGAACAAAGAGCGGCTATAATATCCACCAGCTTCCCTAAGGGTCCGACAGAACAGCAGTAAGGAATCTAAATAAATGCATCTCACAGAAGTCCGCTTACCTTTCCACATGCTTTGTCATATTCCATATTTTGACTAGCATATTTTATCTTAATGTATCCCAAAGCACCTTGTTTTGTGTTAGATATACAGCAGCACTGGAAGGCAGACACATGTTAGGTGGCAAGTGGCAAGTATGTG